GTACGCTTCCATGCTGGCGGAGAAGATGCAGAAGCACGGTGCGACGGCGTGGCTCGTCAACACCGGGGGGGTTGCAGGAAGCTACGGCACGGGGTACAGGATGAAGCTGCCGCACACGCGCAAGATCATCGATGCCATTCACGACGGGTCGCTCCTGCAGGCCAAGTACACGGCGACGGACGTGTTCAATCTCGCCGTCCCTGATCATGTCGAGGGTGTGCCTGACGAGGTTCTGATGCCGCAGAACATGTGGGCGGACAAGGAGCTRTWTAACACCACTCTGAAGAAGGTTGGCGGGCTGTTCAAGGCGAACTTCAAAAAGTTCGAGGACTACACCGTTGGAGGGGACAAGAAGCTGACGGAGGAGATTCTTTCGGCCGGACCGCAGCTGTGAGCAGGCATGAAGATCGGGGTATCTCAAATGTTATGTGATGAGTTCGAATGAAGAGTGTGTCCTATGTTAGGATACGTGAGAAWTTTTGCCGAAGTTTTTTGACACGGTAGCTGCCGAAGTTTTTTGACGGATTAGTGTGTAGTTAATGCGGACATTCTTGTTCGGTGGATTGGTGTTATATCCCACTAACGGATCTGTGGTTGGGATTGTCAAGGAACTCCCCGTTTCACCCAATTTCAGCGCCTATTCAATTCTGCAGAGTATTGACTTTATCTGATGTAGGCTTGTATTCAATTGGACTGCTATAATACTGTCGGTTATTCAATTGTCAAATATGCTGTGTCCGAAAAAAAACAATTTGGTACTATTCTTTGGTTCGTACACTCTTTTTCTGATGCTATTTGCTGTCCAACTATGTTTTCCAGTGTCAGGGTGGATTCTCTTTCTACTTGCCAGCAATGCTCTTTTCGCTGGGTTGTCGTCGTTCTAATGGACATTTCAATAACGGTCACTATCGGGTTTGGCTTCGTTGATATCGTGCAGTCGTAGTGCTTGACAATTTTCTGAGTCGAAATGTTCTATGTATCTAACTGCTTTGAATACATGTTCGTGTTCCACGTCCTGATACGACCATTCCGAACGTCATTCATCATTCGGCTTGAATGAAGGATGGAACGCGGAGTTGGTTCGGCTTGAATGAAGGCTGGAGGATCTGTGAAGATGATCTGCAGGTTTTCGGGGAATTACAGCTTTCAATACGAAGCTTTTGCCGCGGGGGGGATTTATGCATCGTAACCCTCCCTAGATTGTGCCGTATATCAGTGTCTCTTTTGTCCACTCTCGCTCACTCGTTCGCTCTCATTCTCAGGGTAATGCCGACCTTTGACTGTTTGACAACGATCTGTCGGAAGCATGTCAAGGGTCTGAAATTTATTTTTGCCTTCCTATGAAATCTCCCGGCGGCCAAACCTTTGTATTCATTTCACCCCAAATGGTTTCGCCGCGAGGATATTTTATAAACTTTTCTTTCTCTCTGTGTGTCTCGCTCTCACTCCTACCCCCCCCTCCCCTCAAAACGCTCGAAGGGGAAGATATCGTCTGCGCACGACTCTGTCCTCCTTCCTCACAACGCCACCCATTGGAGTACCCACAGCAGCGGCATGATCTGTGCACAGCAGCTTAGCAGCTATGGACCACCACTCGAGTCTATGATGATGATGAGAATAATTGTACCCGGCGTCCAATGAAGGATGGCCTCTGTTTTCGACCTCGCTGGAGGTTAAGTGTGGCCTGGACGGGTTCAGGGACATTACAGTCATTATCAGAGCAGTGTGGGCCAAATCGTCGTTTCCAGTTTACAAGCTGGTTACTATCGCCGTTGGGATTTCGAGAAAGGCGCAGGCATCCACCTTCACTTCTGGTAAACCGAGTCCTGGTGATGCTACAGGGGTTGTATTGTGCCCCAAACTGCCATTACGATAGTGGTAGTCTATTTGTTTTGCCGTAATCCCGCCACTCTCGATCGCTCTCTGGGCCCTTCCCAGCATAGGAGAATTAGCTACTCGCGAACCTCAAATTAACGAGTTCTGCAAAGTCGATGCAACCGTGATGAGAGGAGATCTGCCTGGCGCGGGGACTTTTCTTAGCCCACTTTCTAGCAAGCGTATGGATACACCACCTCTGCCACATCCTATTATCTCTCTTCCCACTGTGTTAAACCCTCGAACAACTACCCAACACTCTTCATGCATTTTCACGCTGACGGGACTAGGTGCATTCGGAGGAGTCCATCATTTTGAATATATATCCGTTGCGGAAAGCTTCCAATTTCCAAATGCATGCCGAGTTCTGTGTAGTGGAGGGAGGCCCCATTAGTCCTGTGGATCCGCCTGCAGTTTCGGCCAGGATGCAATCCTACTCGTCGGAGCGAACTATCGCAACTGAAATTTTTATACTTCTCGAATTCTCAGAGAACGGCCATTGCCCCTGGCAATTCCAAAGTCAAGTATAAGCTTACGTACCCTTACGCCGATCGAGCTGTAATCTAGGTTGCCGCTGTCATAACGTTTAAGCAGCAATCAAGGGGTATATCCCATTCTCGGAGAATGGCGACTCCGCCTGTCCGTTTCGATTTTTTTATTCGTGTGCGAATTATAACAATTAGGGAACCTGGAAACCTTGCATACCTCGGACCCTCCGAGTGTCATTTTTCTGGTTTCCTTTTCTTTTCAACTCAATATCAGTACCATGGCATCCTGTTCTTGTCAGAACGACGACTACGGTCTATTGGTGGTGGGGAGCTGCTTTTGCTGAGAAAGGAAAAGGACTCGAGTTCTCAGTCAGTGTTGGATTTTCAATTGTTTCAAATGTGCTTAACGTGCCGAATGTTCCAAGATGGTTCTCAGCGCGAATAGATCGGAGAGTTTTCTTGGGAAAAAAAAAAAAGGTGTTACATGCCTATCAGCAGATAGGCCATGTGCAGGACCAAGAACCACCAGAGTGAAGAGACACCACAAACCCCATCCAGCGGAAGTGTGAAAGCTAATGAGATGACTCGTTAAACTGGGAACCCAGACCGTGCCCTCATTATCATCACTCTGAGGGGCAAGGAGGGAGGCATGCATCCACGAAAAGTATCCTCCTTGTGCAGTAGACTGCTAGGGAAAATAAGCGTAGAATGATAAGGGAGGAAGAGGAGGATGACATTGTTGAAGACAAATGACAGGCTGTTACAGATGAAGCAATAGTGAGAATGATAAGACTCTCTTCCATCCCACAGTTGTCCTCACACAATCGGCCTCTTTTCACTACTCGGGACGATGGGTGGGGAGGGTCGATGTGAGTACAGCAGCAAGGCCCAATGTTCGACTGGGAACGTATTAGCAGGCTTCCTGACACAGGATCTCTCATCCGAGTGCATGCAGCAACACTGTGCTAAGGCATTGTGAAGGACTTATCTCTACTTAAAAACCAGCAATTAGTTGAGGCCCAAAATCTCCCCCCCACGCCTATTATTTCTCAGATTGATGATTTGCTTTTAGTTTCTTTTATTTTTTGTTTACTTGTTTTCGTTTGTTGCTGGCTGGTAGGGATTCAGAGGGAAAATATATAACAATATAAGGCTCAAGCGAAAATAGGGAAAGAACAAGAGTACATCACCCGGACATCGCACTTGTCTTCATTCCTCCAATGCTGAATAGGTTACCGCCTTGAGACGCTGCACGAATCCGTACTTGCCCCCCTTGACCCCCCTTCCCCTGCTCACCCCAATTTAGACACCCTTTTGAACGTAGTGAACACCACCTCTGTTGAGTCGTGTTGACCTCTGCCCCATCCTTACATTTCACATGGCAGAAACTGATACCTTCTATACCACTTGCCTGACTTAGTAATCCAATCAGACTACAGCCTCAGACAGGAGACCTCCTCCACAGATTAAGCCATCCCATACCTCCTTCCCGGTAGTACTAATCAAGAGATGAAGTCCACGTAGTCACATTTTCAGTCAGATACATTCCCCCACAACAATGTATAAGCAAACGCTCGTAGCCATACACTGGCACACGTAAGACCTCAACTATGATGACAGCTCCTGCGAGCATCACTGTCTCATCTCGTGAATCAGGGGCTCTGCCAATTAAAAAAAACTAACTCAAGACAACTGACGAATTGACAACACTGATGATCTCAATAACACCAACAGCGCCGCCGCCGGCGACATCTACAATACAAACATCAACAACAACGACTGCTGTCACAGCTGAATTAGGTGCAATCAAGGTAAGTACAACTCCGCTTCCACAGGCCTTCCCTGTGCGCGGGCGCCGCAGGGTGGATCCAAGTGCCCTGGAAACGGTGCTAGCAATAGAGCCAGGGGACGGGCGAGGATTCTTGGCTGACAGTTGCGCGGAACATCCCGGATCTCTTCTTGCACCTTATATACAGACGTGGGTGGAATTGGCCGGGTCTGCTGGTGGGGGGAGGTACAGTGGGCAAGGCGAGGAGGGGTCGTTTCCATGGGATGGAGGGGGAGATGGGGAGACGTAAGCGGTGGTTTTCTGAGTGGTGAGGAGAGTGTGAGAAGTAGAGTGATTGAATGTTGTCTTGCCGCATCCCTTTCTAAGGGGAAGGGTCTCAATTAGCGATGTGCTTTGATCGATGTGCTATCCTAATTAGTGCCCTACCTTCGGGTTGGTTGACTTAATTTGTCAAAAGGGAGGCACCTGTCATGTTCTCATAGCTAGGGTGCTCCAGTATGTGTGCTTCGCCATGATTTCGTATGAAGATTTGCAGCCATAGATTCGATTGTTCTTTCAATTTGTGTGCTGCCCTTGGGGCCGGGTTTGTGTAAATTACTGGTGCTCAGGGGAAATACGCCGAAATTACAAATGAATAACTAGACCCTCTTTTTCCTGTTAGCATCCTCTCTGCCCTATTCTAATCTCCACCACTCCTCATGGCGCAGAATGGTTTGAAGTATAGGTAATTGAGGAGAGTAGGGTAGAGCTTGATTTTGCGCACGACAGGGTCAACCCTTCCTTACCGGGGAAGCAATCAATGCCCCTTGGTCATGCTATGTTCGTGTCGTACAGGGAAGCTGTCTCCAGGGGAGAAGTGGCTGAGGCTCTTCCAGCCTACGTGGCACCGTCGGCCACGGATCCTGTGGCCTCGGCCGCGGCCGAGGAGGCCGGCCGAGGCCGCCCGGCCGGGTTTGTGCGCGGCTGCGCCAGGCCCAGGCAGGGGCGCGCGCGGGAAAACGGCGCTCGTGCGAGGCCTGCGCACGTCGGCCTCCCTGTAAATACAAAACCAAAAAAAAATAAAAAATTGGGGGGTGGTTTTTAGTGTGTGACAAAAAAATAAGAAAAATAGAAAAAAAAAAAAAATTGATTGATTGATTGATTGATTGATTGATTAATTGATTGATTGATTGGTTGATTGATTGATGGATTGATTGATTGATTGATTGATTGATTGATTGGTTGATTGGTTGATTGGTGGGGGAGGGGTCCTCCCTCCACTCCCCCTGGCACATGCGCACACACACACACATTCACATGCACACACAC